TGTCATATGATAATTTGACAGTCAACACTGCTGCATAAAATCAAACCTTTTGTTTAATGTTCAGAGTCATACACTTGAAGCAGGGCTGTACATATTGGCTTAATTTGGATCACAGACATCGCAAGTAACCACTTCTTTGATTGCCTCTGTATGTAGAAAAAACCATGAAAACTCCTTTTTCACAAGATATGATATGGACTGTTTCTTTTATTAGCTTCTTTCCCTCCACTTTCACCCTGCTGAACTCCACACCACTCCACTAATCTTGTAATATTATACGTGGAACACACTATTTATTTATTATTTATTATCTCTCGCTGTATAAAACGAACCCCATACAAGTTGTACTTATGTCACAGACATTGATTGTGTTTACATGCCCCCAATACTCCAATCATAATCGGATTTCTGCAGATTTCTGATTTTTCAAATGGTCATATAACAGCACAGTCTGATTTCTTAGATATGAATAGATGATGTATGTTCACATTTTCAGGTGAAGTGGTGCGACGTTTTCATTAAAGCTGCGGCATTAAGTTCGAGTTATACGTTACGTTTGCATCGCGTCTTCATCTGTGAGTTTACTGGCTGGTTGAAAAGCAGAAATCTGATTACTGTCTGACTCATGTAGACCCGGAGTGTTCCCATTGTCTGATTACGCAGATTACTGACAAAATCTGATATTCTGCAGTTATTGGATTTATTGAGTACTCACTGATTTTGGGTGACTTGTTAGCTACTTTGACTTGTAGCTCCACTGAAAAACAAAAGAAGCTACCTAAAGACACCAGACATGTCTTTGCTGATCAACTATGTTAAGGTTTAAAAATTGTTTAAAAATTGTGCACATCTCGTTTTTTTGTGAACTGTTCTTTTAAGCTTATATTAAGCATGAACCCTAACATGTCCTTGTTAATGCTAATCTGTCCGCAAATCTAGTATCTTACGCTGTGTTTGAGTGACATCGGAAATTGGAGAGTACCAATTTTCTGACTGGAAATTGGACTGAAGTCATATTTACAAGAAGGCAGCTTATTCTGGGTGACGCAAGTTTACAAGATATATAACAGGATTTTTCACCTTTACCTCCAGTGAAAAGCGCACAGAAACATGGCCAATCAAAACGAATGTGAAAAAAATATACCTGATGCATTTCATCTCTCGTTCTGCAAGCATCTTTGTGTTTTTATTAATGTAGCAAAGACAAAGTATGATGACCCCCATGTGTCCCCTTCTGTGTGGTGGCGACATCTTGCAACAAGCACTCAAATGGAATGAAATTATATTTTCTAGTTGACCTTCGGTATGCACAAACTTCCAAAGCGGGCCTGAACACAGCTGAAGTACATATTTCAGGAATGCTCATAAACAACAGCTCCATCAGTCTCATGCCATTTTCTTCTGCCTCACACGTTGTTTTTCTCAATTTACATCCTTATCAGACGCTTGTTTTATCCCCCTCGGAATCGAGTTATTCTTCAACGGCTGGTTCACAGTCTAAACAGGTTAGTTTTTTGACTTCTACACTAGAGAACATTTCCTGTTCCTGAGGAATGTTGAAGGCACGTGATGTGTACAGTAGATGGAATCTTGCTCATAGCTTGAAAAGCCTTCAGCTGTGTTTTGTCCAATTCCTTATCTTGTTAGGAGAGTGGATTTCTCATTGATCTGTCCAGTGGAACAGAAGCTTCCGCTGACCAGCCTGCACAGGTAAGATTTTACGTTTAATATTTTACATTTGTGTTTGTTTTTTTTTAACATTGAGAGACATTTTTCAAGAAACTGTTCTACTTTTGCAGAAATGTTTCCTGCCAGAGATGCGAGAAAAGTGGCTATAGCTGAGCTAAACTTTCATGTTCTCATTTATATTTGTTAGCCTATTCTAGCATATCAGCACATACTGAGACACATTTGCAGCTAAGATGGTAAAATGGATATAAAATGTTGTGGCTCCCAATGGTTTGATTTTTGTTGAGAAGACAAAATGGCTCTTCTTAACATTTGGGTTGTGACCCCTGACCTAGACTATAGGAACTAGCACAGCTTAGCTATATTTCTTCTGTCAGGAGGAACAGTGCAGGAAGCGAGTGCTGTGTTTACATGTTGGTTTTTTGAAAAAACTATTGTTACCAACGGTGGCACGCAGCAGTGTAAACGTTACCATGGTGATAACATCCGCCAAAAATTTGGCACCATCAAAGGAGAGCTTTGTCAGTCTGTTTAATTTATTTAAGATGGAAAAAATCATAGGAATGCAGAACAACACCTTTGCCCATGACGACATAAGATTTAGTAATATTTTGATTGGCACATGAGAGCCTTTTTCTTTTTTTTTAAATCCAGGTACAATCAAGTGGGTATGCCTAGCCCCCCTCAGTCCCCCCACAGCTATATACCTGATTTATAACTTCAGTTATTTCTCTTTTATGTGCAGAATGGAAGTCTGAGTCCAGTCAACCCGTTTCATCTTCCGACTCAGGTAAAGCTCCACTTGTCTTAAGAGAGATTCTTCTAGACGGGGTATGAGAGCTGTTAATGTGTTTACATGTACAGGATAATTTGATGAAGGCAATAATTCGGGTGATGCATTTTTATGCACAGGAATAATCTGATGATGGGAAAGCTTTGGGTCTTCATGTGCCAGTCAGTAATTTCTTTGTTTAAGACATGATAGAACCCCACCATAGAAAAAGGATGTGACATGTTGATATTAAAAATTGTTATTTTTGTTTTTAAATCATTTATTTTTAGTTCCATATACATCAATCAGGCATATCATTATGACCACCTCCTTGTTTCTGCGCTCATTGTCCATTTTATCAGCTCCACTTACTATATAGGTGCACTTTGTAGTTCTACAGTTACAGACTGTAGTCCATCTGTTTCTCTGATACTTTGTTAGCCCCCTTTTACCCTGTTCTTCAGTGGTCAGGACCCCCATGGACCCTCACAGAGCAGGTACTATTTGGGTGGTGGATCATTCTCAGCACTGCAGTAACACTGATGTGGTGGTGGTGTGTTAGTGTGTGTTGCGCTGGTACGAGTGGATCAGACACAGCAGTGCTGCTGGAGTTTTAAACGCTGTGTCCACTCACTGTCCACTCTATTAGACACTCCTACCTTGTCAGTCCACCTTGTAGATGTAAAGTCAGGGACGATGGCTCATCTGCTGCTGCACAGTTTGTGTTGGTCATCCTCTAGTCCTTCATCAGTGGTCACAGGACGCTGCCCACAGGACGCTGTTGGCTGGATGTTTTTGGTTGGTGGACTATTCTCAGTCCAGCAGTGACACTGAAGTGTTTAAAAACTCCAGCAGCTCTGCTGTGTCTCATCCACTCAGACCAGCGCAACACATTCTAACACACCACCACCACGTCAGTGTTACTGCAGTGCTGAGAATGATCCACCACCCAAATAGTACCTGCTCTGTGAGGGTCCATGGGGGTCCTGACCACTGAAGAACAGGGTAAAAGTGGGCTAACAAAGTATCAGAGAAACAGATGGACTACAGTCTGTAACTGTAGAACTACAAAGTGCACCTATATAGTAAGTGGAGCTGATAAAATGGACAATGAGTGTAGAAACAAGGAAAGTCATAATGTTATGCCTGATTGGTGTATTACGTGATTTTAGATGTAGTGACGAATTTATGGTATTTATTGGGCACATATGCAACCTAATTATTGGACTAAAATCCAGATCTGTTTTCTGGAAATCCATGTTCAAGATCACAATTTGCTGTTTATAATACCAGTTAAATAGTCTGGCAGCTGCTGAAATCGAATAATGATCAAATTAGTGTGGATGTCAACACACTTCCTTAAAGCATTAATGGAATTATAGGAATACTTTAGATGTGGAAGTGTGTGTGTGTTCAGGTTAAACTCTCTTAGTAAGGATGTAACAGTACAGCATATTGTATCACACTGCATTATGTTGTATCGTTGAATTGTGACTAGCTTGTAAGTTTGTGACTGGTGTGTAAGTAATGTGGCAGAACGTGTGCCTAAATTTAATATGTTAAAGGGTCCATTTTCACTTTATTAGAGCATTTAATATTATAAAACTTCACTCTCGTATTGGATTAAATTCTGAATTTCGTGAATCGTCTACTTGTATTTACACGTTTTCTTTTTCCTTGCTAGAATGGAACTGCAAGCAAACCATGGAATCCTTTCTCTTCTGCTGAGGTAACATTGTGTTTGTTCAATTTAGTCAGACTTCATTCCAGAATTATGACAGTGAGTACTTATGGGTGTGATTTAGGTCATACATGGGTATGGCATAGTTTTAAACTGGCTCTGTCTCTCTGACTTTCAGAGCAAAGTTAATGGAGTCGGTGGCAGCTCAACCATTCCGAACCCCTTTTCCACTCAAAACAAAGTAAGCTGTGCTTTTCTGTGTGTTCTGTTGATAAAAGTTCAAAAATGAGAAGTTAAAGTGTGGCTAATCATGATTTTGTCTTGTAGGACTCCACCGTAAGTGCTGTTGGTAAAGAAAACACACAGCCAAATGTGAAGGATCTATTCTCAAGCAGTAGACAAAGGAATGGATGGGCTTGGCCTCCATCATCTTCTGCAGAAACACTTGAGCCGTCAAAGGGGGATTTTCTTCAAAATGACTGGGCTGTCTTCCCGCCCTCTGCTTCAAGCCAGGAAACTAAAGATGTGCAAGCCACGTCCACCAATCATGCATCTGATATATTCCAAGCCGCACCTCCTTCCTGGCTTTCAGACCTCCCTCAGACTAGACCGTCCAATCAGAAAGCAGATATTTTTCAACCTTTTGGAAGCGAAGAGGAAAACCCTGTCTCCTGGAGCATGGGGACCAGTGAGAGCAAAGACCTCACTGAGCCGTCCAACAGGAGGGATTATCTCTTGGAATACATACTGGCCAATCAAAAAAATGAGGATATCCAACCTTCTCCTTCTCCTACCATAGCGACTGATGGGCCAGATGCTTTCCAGAACACATTTAGGTTTTTCCCTCCTCCTGTCGCAAATGAAGACTTATTCCAAACCCCAGACATTTTCTCAGGCACTCCTACATCGGCATCAAACTTTCAATCCCCTTTGTCCAGTCTAGACAACAGAGTATTCCAGAGTACTCCATTTTATACAACCCCAACATCCATCAAGGCTGATATTAATGCGTTTGACCCATTATCTAATGATTACGTTGCGAATGATGATCCATTCAAGCCCCAGGAAAGCCAGTTTGACAAGCTGTTTGCCACCCCTGTTGGCACTAGTGATGGCATTGATGGCACTTTTACAGAGCTCAAAACTGGAACATTCGAGGACACGTCCCCAGTTATATCACCAGTAAATGGGCTGGTAAGAACATCTTTATGAGCTTCTTCATTACCAGTTTCACTCTGTCCCATACAGCGTTGTTTTTCCCAAAAATCAAACTTAAAATTTTATCTGTGGTTGATCAGCCAAGAACAGCCGTTGTTTACTTTAGTTTTCACTGTAGCTAAGCAAATCTTGCTAATATAAATAATAGAAGTTTATACCTGATTTGCATCATGGAAACTACATTCCTAAATCATCACACACTTGCTTCAAGCTGGTTTGAGATGGTAGGTAATCTCAGAGAGACTTGCTTATTTGGTTTGTTACACAGTATTTCATAGTGTTCTGTAAAACCGGACAAAATTCGGATTCCATTTTTTTAGAGATAATAGTCATAGGTGTGTCATACAGTGTCAAAAACAACATAAACAAGTGTGCTTCAGATTTTTTTATCAGCTCAACGTGGCTTGAGTCAAGTGTGTGATGGTTTAGACATGTTTGCATGAGCTATAAGTATCCATTACTTGTTAGCAGGGGTTGACATTGTCTGTTGACCCTAGCCAGAATACACATTCGGGCCACTAAAAATGGAGAGTCTGTGGCCCAACTCGCCCACTTTATTTTACCCCTGTAACAAACTACCAGGCCAGTTGAAGTTTCACATATTCACAAATAGCCAGCTTTAATAACAATTTTCAGTAGTTAAAAGCAAGGCTGCAGCTTTCAACACGATCCCAATAACAAACTTACAAAGCCTGCTGAATGTGGAGGTGGCTTAGAGAGATCGAATGATAAAATTCTTCAGTCTGGTTTACAGTATCGTGAAAACATAGATCCTTTCACGTCATTGCCTGGTTTGATAAAATGAAAAAAAATTGATTGGACATGAGGGACAAGTGGCACTGGTACTGAAACATGCTTGTTGAATACAGTGCATATCACTGCTGTCAGAACAAAACATTGTATCTCCAAAAAGGTAACTTTACAGCAGAAGGAAAAAATGTTCTTGACTTTTAATGTAAGTTAATGGAGAAGTTATTTTTGGTCCAGTCATCACAAAAGTTTGACACAACATAAAGAGCAACTGACTTTTTCATATTATGTAAAAAATGAAAAACAACAAAAATGGAGATGTCCCGACAGCGAGGATGTATGATAGGCATGTTTCTATAATACTGGCCACAGGATTTATTGTCTTGGTCGCTGTGTGGCCAGTGCACATTTTTATATCTGTTCACCCTTGCTTATTAACTTTTAGTTTCATAACTCCAGCTCATAAATATTATGGCTGATGGGGAAATTCTTTCTTTTTGATTTGTGGTGGAACCGTTGTTCTGAAGAATAGAGCATTAATTGTAAGATGTTTGCATGTTGTAGATGTTCAAAAGACGTCCTCCCAAACCAACACCCCGCAGGGTTCATAAGAATTCTAATCAGGTAAGCAAAAGATGCTGTTGATGCTTTTTATAATTGTATGTTTACTCAATACTAACAGTCTTCCTCTTCATTTCCTTTCAGGATGTGGACGATCATTCTTCTTCCAAGCCTGCTGTTGTCCCTCCCACATCCACACTAGCTCATTTTGATACTCCTCAGATTCCCCTAATATCCACCCAGGCTCCTCCCATGTTCACTCCTGCTCCTCATCCTCCTGTCTTACAGGCCAGAACCAGCATTCAGGTGATTTGCCTTTATTGAGTCTCTCTTTCTTCTTAGAATGACTGTTTAGACACTCTTAACCTGTATTTTTTGTTATGCTTCGGTGTGACAGAACAAAACACAGGCTGAAGAGGAAAATGACAATCAAGTCTACGAGGACATTCTTCTCATTGGTCAGGTGTGTTAGTTGGTTTGCATAGGGAAAAGGTTAAATTGTACTTCATTGTATATGCACAGATACATTTGCTGAGGCTTGACGGGGGTGTGTGTGTGTGTGTATTTTACAGGAGAGATGTGTAGAGGACTGGCCAGAGGACAGCCCCCAGCTTTCTCCCGACTGGAAGCCGGTATGTAACTGACTATACACTGAGTGACCACTTTTCTTGTTAACATAAGCAGCAAATCCTATGGCTGCCACAGAATATGTAAACATATTCAGTAGACTTCTTGTTTGACCAGACTTTAGAATGGGAAAGATGTGAGCTGTGATTTTGAAGGTGCTTCTATTATTTCAGACATGATTTTCATGCATTACTGTCCATAGAGTTTACACAGAATGTTGCAATAAGCAAAAAGCCTGTCGATGAGAGAGATCAACAAGTAAGGCTGGAAAAATGAAAAATAATTAGTCATCAGTAATATTGATTGTGGTGAAAAAAAGCGATATGTTGTTCACTGAACAAAAACACACGAACAAAAATATGAACATTATGGAGCATAAAATACACACTTATTCCCTACATGTTGCAGTGCACTACGGGAAGAGTAGGAGGCTTCTGTTGTCTTAAGTGCAACATAAAAGAAGAGATGGTTTGCAGCAGTGCTGTGATTGGAGTAATACTTCATAGATTAATCAAATAACTATTACCACATACAGCTTTCCACTCTAGTCAGTTAAAAACGGGAAGACTTGATCACAATGAGTGGCTTTTGTGATCACCAAAACAAAACTCCACCTGATTTGGTGAATCTCAGTTTATAAAACAGAAAGAGCACGAATCCGATAATGGTTGGGTGTTTTCTTGGGTCAGGTTGGGACACGTTTTGCTTTTTTCACAATTTCTGCCTAATTCAGTCAAGATTTAATGAAGAAAATCAATTAGAGTGATCTGATGTGAAATGGTGCCTTGTAGTGATACTTCCCAACCTGATTTCTTTACAGTGGTGATGATGGGAACCAAGAGGGCGTGATGTCAAATCTCACATACAAAGAATATAAAAAAATGTGCTATTTTCCTTGCAGCACCCTGCATGTATATTAAAATGAATTCAGTTAAAATTTAGGGATGCAATTCTCCAGACAGAAGTATTTCATATCGAATCACTTTAACATCTTTGCAGAACTTTTGCTGACCTTGCTCCGGTTTCCTCCCACAGTCCAAAGACATGCAGCCGGGCCAATTGGACATGCTAAATTGCCCCTAGGTGTGAGCGAGTGTGTGAATGTATATGTCTGTCTGTCTGCCCTGCGATGGACTGGCGACCTGTCCAGGGTGTATGCCCACGTCTACGCCTTATTAAAATAGATACTTCCACCTTGAAAATACACCATCACCATTATACTTTAAGCTGATTTTACAAACATGAATGAGTGGCCTACACGTTGTGCAAGTCTAAATCTAGTAGTGTGCCTTTGGGACGAGGTGGAATGTATACTTACAGTATGAATGAATGGCTGACAGAACTGCATAATGCTTCCAAAATCAATAACACATGTTTTCAACACCTTCATGATGCTTTGCTGTGAAGAATTCAGCATTCAGGAAACAAAAAATGGACCTTCAAAGTAACACAAATAGGCCTATCAGTCTAATACAGTGTCCACTAGGTGTATATTGTAATCATTTCCAGTTCTACATTTGTGTTGCGCATTTCTTAGTTTTTATTTCATGTTTATGCTGTATTTGTTCATCAGGCTGGAAGGTTAAGACTGAGGAGGGACTCTTTGAGGGTGAGCCACTGATAAATAACATTCAGGACGTTTATTTTATAAATAAATAATTTGATATTCTTTTGGGTTTCTAGGCAGTGTTTGTTCCTTGTGTCTTTATTAAGGAAAGCATATCACGCTTTTAATGTGTACTGTTCTCCTTAGATTGCTGCAGAATCTGAGGCAGCCCTGACTTTAGAGACTCTTGGGAAGAAACACGGCAAAGGGGTATGTCTATTCTATGATATATCTTGTAATATACTTAATATTTCTGTGATTCAGTTTTCATTTGCTATTCGGTATCATTTTAGAAACTGAGCAAGAAGTTGAGGTCCTCATTCTTATCTAGAAGAGGCTCGAAGGTAAATGCGTCAGACACACTTTTTTGATTTTAAGTTTTTAAAAAGGTATTTGAAACAGCTGAATATGAAACAGTATGATGATGTTGGGTTTCAGGATAAGTTTGGAGACGACCTGAAAGCGGCACAGACAGCAACGCTCGGCCGAGAGTCAAAGGTATTTGCGGCAATTTTTGTTTGATTGATTGCTGTTTGTTCACCACTGTCTGTCTCAGCATTGTCAACAATCTACCATAATCAATCATGCATTTCTTTGTGCTTTGTTGACTAGGAGAAAACCTCTGATGGCATGAATGGTGGCTATGGAGGGACCCTGCCTTGGGGAACAAAGGTGATAGAACAAACTCATTTGTACACTGCAAGCAAAATTATCTTATATCTTGTCAGTACATCTAATATTTCTCATTTTTAGAATGTTTTATGCTTAATATAAGATTTAACTTGTTTTTACTTAATATACCAATATAGTATGATAATTTGACTCAAAGTAAGTTAAAAAACTCTAGAAATTAGTTAATCTTGTAATAAACTTACAACAGTCTTAAAATGAGAAAAACTAGATATTTTGACTAGATTTTAAACAATTTCACTTGCCAAGATATAATTTTTTTGCAGTGTGAAAAAAAAAATAATAAAAAAAACAAACAAAAAAAAACCAGATGTCTGTCTGTCTGTCGTTGTTGTTGGTAAGTGTTTTTGTTCATTTTGGCTCTTAGTTCCCTGATGGTGCGTCAGATGAAGTTTTCTCATCTGATCAAGATGAACACGGTGCAGCAGTGGCCAACAAACCTGTGAAGGTTTGGCTCGTTCACAATCAGTCCACTTAACACTTTGATGCACATTTTATTTTGCATGGATTAACGAAAGTATTCTCTTCTTTGTTCACAGCAGAAGAAAAGAATAAAAGTAGTCGTTCCTCAGTTACGTTACCGAACATCATCCAAGGTAAAAGTTCATTATACATTTATATTATGTGTGCATTATTGGAATGAATGTCGAAACGATGAACCCACACACATGTTTGCATTGTTTTGTTTCTTATTTGACCAGATCAAGTCCACTAGTGACGTTCCTGATAATGGATTAGGCCATTCCACCATCCTGCAAGCTTCCAAGGTTTGTACCATGTGGAGTGGACAGATTTAATGATTCTGTGAACCGTGCAGTGTTAAAGTAAGGGTTCACCAGGCTTCCTTGTATTTCACTATTTTACTATTTACTATATTTACTGTTTAATATAAACTAAGAAGATTTTAATTGTCTTACTGTAATATAAAAATAGTTCTGCAATGTTTTGTGTCATTATGTCATTATAGAGTTTATAAGATTTAAGAGCTAATATACTCATCCTTTCTGTAGGGCATGTTTGAAGATGACCTAAAAAAGATGAATGACCTCCCATTTATAGAGGAATCAATGGTATTGTCTATCTAACTTGCTATCTTGGATTCTTGGATGTATTTTTGTCTTAGGTATTTGTATTTATTGTTCAAATGATAACGATTTAAGTTGTTGGTATTTGTTGTTGTTTATGGTCTCTCTTTATTTGGTCTATTTTGACATGCGCAAGTGTTCAGTGTTCTAGAATTGCTAAAAATACCTATGATACACAGCACATTACCCATATATACTGTGTATTGTGACATAATTTCTCACAATAGTGATAATATATCATCATGCTGCCCAGCCCTACACTGAATTCCCCATGGAATTTATTGTTTGCGCCGCAGCAAAAATGGCCAAACAGGCGGAATGTCTTCAAGTGCAAAACAATATCCTTGGATCTTTGGCAAAAAACGTACATGAAGTGGTAACATTGTGCCTGGCTACTTTCCATTTTTGTGTAGGTTACAAAAATGTCGGTTTACTTTCCATTTTTGGAAAAGTTAGTGTACCGTGAGCGCTTTATCGCTTCATTCAGGAGCTGAAACTTTGAGTGCTGCCACATATAGTTTGGATGTCTATAACCTTATTTGAGCTAGTTTTTGAGACTAATCATAACAAAGCAGAGGGTAAACTTCTTGACATTGCTCAAAAAGTTTTGTTGGCTTGGTTGTTGTCATACGGCATAAGATGCATCCATGATTGGTTGATGAGTTCATGTCGGTGGCGAAAGTTAAAAAAAAAAAATTGAACGAAGATGGAATAAAATAATGTCACATTTTCTCCATCTGAAAAATCAAGTTCAACTCAGTTATACAGATGCTTGAATTAATTTGTTGTTATTCTTGTGATGTATTCATCTGTGTTCATCTATCAACAATGTAGCATCTGATGTTCAAGAAAAGCTGAAAGGAAAAGCTAATTGTTTGTGGGTTTTGTTTTGTTTTTGTAGGAAGACCAATTTGTGAGAACCGATGCTGAAAAGAGTCACTCCTCTGCAGACTTCTTGGTACTTAACTGTCATAGAGTAACAGACTTGATGTTGCTTAAGTAGGGCTGGATATCGTTAAAAGGTTTTCAGTGCTAATACTGATACCTTGAACTTTAATAACAATTTTCAAACAGTACTTTTATTTTATTCAGTACCGTCAATATTGGAAAAAATACCAAACCAAAAATGAGCAGCTTAGAGCAGAAATGAGTGTGAGGTGCTGGAAATGGGTATATTTACTGACTGCAGGAGGTTATAAACTAAAAAAAGAGATGATGTTAATAACAGGTAAACAGAATGTAATTTAACAGTCTGGACTTTGGAACTGGCAAGCTAATTGGCCTTAGGACTACTACACAGAATCTTTTAATCTCTGTAGTAGTGAAGTAATTCAGCCGGTATCAAAAAGGTATTGAACTTCCACGCCCAGCTGTATGCTTAAGTATTCTTCTGTTTATGTTTTGAATTTTGCTCTATACAAAATTACTGTAATTTGCATTTAGCTTTGCAACTTGTTTTCTCCAGGATTCATTTAGGACTCTAAATGAGGAGGAGGGGGCAACTGGGTACACCCCTTCATGGGAGTCAAAGGTGTTGTTGTTGTTGTTGTTGTTCTTCTTCTTCTTCTTCTTCTTGTTCTTCTTCTTCTTCTTTTTCTTCTTCTTCTTCTTCTTCTTCTTCTTGTTCTTGTTCTTCTTCTTTTTCTTCTTCAACCACCTGAGGTCTGTCTCACAAAGAATTTCTTGCTTATTAAAGCTAACTTGCTTAATTCAGTCTAACGCTGGATTTTCCATCTCATGATGGTGGATCACTTTATGATCATGACAATTTATGTTGCTTGCCTAGCCTGGTCCAGAGCAGGTTCAGTTTTGGACTTCAAAAAATATATATAATTGTGACCAATCAGTGACCTCCGGCCCATTTTGGTTCACTTTTTTTTTTTTTCGCTTTTGTGTCATCAGTCACTTAAAAAACATCCTTACGCAGTAGGACTGAAAGATTAATCATTTTTATATCAAAATCGTGATTTAAGAAAATGCAGTTTTCAAATCACAAGAACTGCATTTTTTTTTAATTGGGGAAATTTAACCTAGTAACACAGAGTTGTATACTGCCTGTAGAGTTAGACCAATCAGAGACGATCAAACCTCCATGTGTTGTGACATCACAACCGTAACTGGCTTTGTGGCACTCTACATTAAGGGGTCAAGGCTCAAGCCAGAAAAAGTGGATATTCTGGTCTTTTTGGTACTTACAAAAAAAAAAAGTCAGGAACCATGTCTTAAGTTAATTGTGCTTCGTTAGAGCGCCCCCTTGACAAATGTGTTTAGTCATAAAATCTTAATTTAGCTGCCAGTTTACTGATTATAGGTGTTTTGTTTTGATGTTCAGGCAGGTTACCAAGATGAGCCTTTCTCTCCGAGTGGTGCCGAGCAGTTCACACCTTTAGACAACACTGGAAAACAACCAGAAATGCAGGACTGTCGACCTGTAAGTTGCTCGTGCCATTTTTTTGTCTATGTATTGTACGTGCCCACTGTGAATTACAGATGCATTTGTGCTTGTTTTTACAGAAGAAACCTGTTAAATTAAGAATTCCCCGGCTGCCTCGGAAAGAATCGAAGGTAAACATTAACACTGTTTCTGTTAGTAATGCGCAAAGTCATTGTAAGTCAGGCACACTCATATAAATGTGATTTACCTTTAGAGCGCACCAGATGACGTCCCACAGAAGGGTGCAGATCTGTTTAAAGCCAGTGACGTTAACGGCTCTGAACTGAATGGACATGAGGATTATAATGAGGTATTTTTACTCAATTATTCCTTTTATGTTTAATTCCTGATTTGATTAGATTTCCACATTTTTACTTGATTTCCATGTATTCACTTTCTCGTAGCTGAAAAAGCCACCTATTCTGAGGGTTCCACCACTACCTCGCAGAGATTCAAAGGTTAGGTGCTGTTGTATTTTTTTATTATATTTTATTATATATGTATAGTATTAATTTATTTTTTGTACTCCTTTGTTTTTGGAAGATCAGAAATTCAGAATCTGAAATGTGGTTCTGCTGGTGAACATATTTGTGATGTTTAGGGTCTACAGGATTCAGAAACCCCAGAAAAAGGAGAAGATCTGTTCAAAGCAGGAGACGATGAAGATGCTGAGAACTGGATGGAGGAGTACAGTCCGGTATTTCTCCACTTCCATTTCCGTTCCCCATATTGATCAGTCTGTTGCATAAGGGTAGGCGATGTGACAAATCACAATACTGATATAGTTTGTCACATTGCCCACCCTTAACTGTTACTCATCCCTCAGTCATTCGATTATGTAATGAAAGTCTTTTTCTATTGTTTTTAGGACGCCAAGCCTCATAATAATTCACATACGGCAAGCAGAGAAACAAAGGTAATGGTGTTTGCGTAGGTGTGCATACGCTATACGTCCGAAGTATGAAGACACCTGCTGAAGTGAAGGTTATTAACAGGAAGTTTGGCCCTCTTTGCTGCAGTAACAGCCTCTACTCTTCTGGGAAGGCTTTACAATAGATGTTGGAATTTGATTGAGTGCTGGATGGCTTTATACCCCTCTAGCTGATGTTTGGCGTTTGACATGGTGACCTTAGGCCAGGGGTCAGCAACCCAAATGTTAAGAATAGCCATTTTATCCTTTCAGCAAAAATCACGCCACCTTGTGAGCCACAACATTTTATGTCCATTTTACCATCTTGGCTAATGTACTAGTACAGGCTAACAAATATAAATGAAAATACAGACTTACTTTGCTCTGCTTTAAGCTTTAGCTCAGCTTTTCTCACATCTCCAGCAGGAAAAGTTTCCAAAAGTGGAATAGTTTCTTGTAAAATATCTCTCAACTTTGTTTTTTACAAGGCTGAAGCTGATCATTCAACACAGTTTAACAATAAATGGTCTTAAATGCTGGAGTTAACGTAGAACTGCTAATTCACCCTTAAACCCTAAAAGGTTGGTGCGCAGACTGTGGGTCACCATAGCAACGCAGACAGCAGTCTAGCCCAGCTAGCAGCTAACAAAAAGGCAAAGAGAGAGATTTAAGACGAACGTTGATCATTTGTAGACAAATGGACTGTGTTTATAAATCACTCCAGCTGGTTTCCTGATACGTTTACTCTGCAGTGAGCAACTGAAAAACACTAAAAAGTCACAAAACTGATGTCAGCTTCTCATCAAATTTTCCCATTCCACCTTAAATCGTGCTGAACAAGAAGCTGGTAAATGAGAAGCTTCAGCCTTGTAAAAAAACAAAGGAGGAGGATTATTTTACTTTTACCTTAAAACCTATCTCTGCTATGGAGCTGCGACAGGGCAGTAAAAGAGCCGCATGTTGCCGACTCCTGCCTTAGGTTAATGTGTATCTGCTCCAAAGCGTCCCATTCTACTGGCAGAGCTTTTCTTTGAAGGTTGTGCAAGCTCTGTGTGTCCATTGAACATCTGTGTCAGCAGTGTGTACCCTAAAGTTAATTAATTCACTAATTAGAAGGGGTGTCTGGATACTTTTGGATGTGTAGTGTATCTGCCTGCATTTTGCTTGTGTCCTCATTTTTGTAAGTCATGTTTCAGTGCTTAAAATGTCACTCTTGACTGTTCAAATCACTTTGTACTTTTTCCCCTTAAGGCTAAAGGTGAAGCATACTTTCCTGAAGACTTTGATCCCCCAGGTGCTACCTCCAGTGACTTCTACCTTTCAGAGGCAGCTAAGGTATCCACACAACCTTTAGCTACACATAGGTCAGTCACCCACAACAGCATTCTCGATTATCACAGATCTGGTGGTGAGGAATGTGGCTCGTCATTTGCCGACACCAGTGCTGCCCGTTAGTACAGTAGGCTTAGATTACAGGAACTGTCATTATTGCAGCTGTCAAATGTCTACATTTGCTTTTGCTTATCTAGAGAACCTGCACGGTTGCTTGCAAGGGCATGTGAGTTAGCCAACTATGAGATGCCTTTTGACTCACTAACATGCGCTCAAACCAGTTCCGCATGTTTAGAGCCGAGCCAAGTTTCACCATGTGAGAGAAGCAGATCCCCACCCCAGTGATTTCTGATTCAGAGGCAGTGTTGACTCTGCTTTCTGTTTTTCTTTCACAGTTCAAGATGAATATGTCGGTGTGATTTGTTGACTTAAGTACTGTTCAGACAGGATTAGTCTAACATGGGGAGGTGTGGTGATGTAGTTATTAGCGGAGAATCTCTGATTTTAATCCCGTTTGAATCCGTCCTGTCAGTCATTTTTTTTACAGATTTAATGCATCTGCTTCTGTAACGACTACAGGGGCTTCTGGATGCACCAGTATGGTAGCTGTGGGCTGATGCCGATATCTGATCTGTTTTATGCACACATCTATTGATGACGATAGGTAAACATTTAGAAAATGGAGAAATTGGGACTGCATCTGCCTGGATTAGAATTACGGAAAAGTATAACATTGAACACATAAATAAAATGCAGACATTTTAGCACTGTAGCCTAATGTGAAATATCAGTCAGATGAAAGTAAATTGGAAATTTGGCAAATCTTTTGACTTATAACCAACCATCAACAAGCCTTAACCGGCAGGCATAAAATCAAAGATGGAACCTATCCGAATATCCATTATAAAACAGATATTTGCAGCTCTGAAATCTGACTGACTGAGCCATACTCAAAGCCTTTGTGAAATGCATGATATGCACACGAACATGAGCACATCCGTCAACTTGATTCTGTATTAAAGCGAAGTGTTTCTTGTATGGATTGCAAAGTGATCTTGTATGGATCGCATCAGCGTGTATGTGTAGCTGATGGAAGTGAAACATACTCTATGTAAGAACCTGGCTCTGTTTAAACTGAGGGACTCGCAACTAATATGTTTATGATCATAGCTGCACGCATTATATTTTGTAGGCCTGTCTAGCAGGAGCAATTGGCTATTGCGCCCACATATTTACAATATAAAAATTTGGTGACCTTGAATGATTGCAGTATTCAAATAGAAACTGGAAATGAAATAAAATTAAACGAACTTTTTAAGCAATAGCATTAGCAGCAAACAAATATTTTTATTTTTATTTTTTTGTTTTTGGTTTATTTATTTTTTATTTATTTTTATTTGTTGGTTAACTAGTTAAACATTTACATCCTTACTGTTTTTAATCGTCACAGTGTGAACTCCCCAGCTTCCAATGACCCATTGCTTTCACTAAAGGTGGTTGGAGAGGACACGAAAATTGCGCTTTCTGATCTCTGTAATTCATCCACAGATGTGTGTATGGTGCAAAGGTTCTATTCTTTCTTTGTTCTTTCTCTCGCAGGCTGAATGGATGTCCTCACAGATGGACGTGAGGCGCACAAGAGGACCAGAAGAAGAAGAGAGATTGGAGGGTGTGGAGGAGGAGGAAGAAGAAGGGGTCAGTTCTTTTCCTGCCACACATTGCATACAAACACAATATCTCATTTAACAAAACTAGACTTTCTATTGGCCTTTATATGAGGTCCACTTAAGTTGCACGTTCACATATTTGTATAATTATGATTATTCAAAGATTTGACCCTGTATAGTTCTATAGTTGTAAATATCACACCTGCATTGTCATTGAAAATGGAAAGTAGCACAAAAAAGGCCATGGTTTGTGTTTTACAGATTAAAATGTATGTACTGTATGTATGTCCACACTCATTGAGTGCTGTGTTTCTTCATTGGTTCATTGGTTCATTGCAGGACACTGACAGTCTGATGGAGTGGTGGAACACAGTGGAATGTAAGCTCTCTGTGGAATCTTGATGAGCTTTCTCCCATAAATGCTTTAACTTGTACGCGTAAACAGGAAACATACACACTACCTTGTTGTTTTTTTGTTTTTCAGTGTGGGATGAGCTACCATCAGATGAGGAAATCACCCTTAAAGAGGATGAAACTATGTAAGACTTTTCCTCCTGCAGTTCTGTGCATCTTAAATGGTGTGATCAGCAGAGTCTGCTACTGAATGCCTATGCAAAAAGTGGTTATTTTAATCTAAGAGTGTCCTTTAGTAGTGTGTTTATGTTGATATGTACAGTACTGTGCAAACATCAGAGACTACCCTTCATTTAATTTTCAGTCCAAATGGCCTTTAAGTACAAGTTATTCATTTTTCAGGTGATGTTTTTAAGATTAGATAATCCACTTGCATACGAAAGAGGGAAAGTTAAAAGAAAATGAGTGGGGAAAAAACAATTTTCAAATTTGGAGCTAACTACAGAGAAAATGTGCCTCCTAACAGCCACCTGGAAGAGCTGGTCGACACCAAAACTGCCCCCATCAGATAAACAGCACTTGAAGCTTTCATCTTTGAGAGAGAGGAGAAAATCAAGCTGCTTCTGAAAACATCCACAGGTGTTTCTGTCCATCCTTCCACTGTGAGAAGACGACTCAGCGCTGTGGGTCTGAAAGGATGTGTAGCTGTCAAGAAGAACCTCACTGAGAAAAGAAACTCAAGCTAGTGAAATCTTTCAAAATATCTTTTTTGCACTAATGGGTGTAAATGTCAAAGTATCTGAGTGCATGGAACCCAAATTGCTGATGAATCCAAATGCCCACATGTATAATTTGATGCATTTTAGCCGTTGCAATTTGAAACCAACTGAAACAAAAAAAAAGTGCAATCTCACAAAACCTGTCGTGGCAGATAAAGTAGTCTCTCTCTTTGTGTCTAATCCTCTTGCGCCCTCTTTTCCAGATCTTTCACTGAGATTGCTGGGAAGGTCCACCGTGGGCTCCGTGTCTTCTATAAAGTTTTCACAGAGCAAGCCGAATTTCTCTACCAGCACGTGCTGTTCCTCTACGCCCTCGCTGATGACCTCAGCAACTTCCACCGCCGTGCTAAGATTGCTAACATCACAGGTGGCACTACAACAGCTGTGGGTGGCGTGGCAGCCATCGCCGGACTGGCTTTAGCCCCTGTTACATTCGGGGCTTCGCTCATTGTATCAGTGGTTGGCCTAGGGGTGGCCACAGCGGGAGGAATCACGGCAGCTTCGGCTGCCATCTCAGACAACGTCCATGACATGAACGTAAATTCTTTGTTCATTCATTTTTATCTAATAAAGCTATTAAAGCTTTTGATGAAGGAGCTGCTTCTGCCTTTTTTTGCAATCTGCTTATCTCCCTTAATAACACGCTGTAGCTGCATGCATTGGATGGGTAAAGATGATCTAACAAAGAGAAAAAAATTAATTTGTGTCACAGACCAACATTTTGAGAAAGTAAACAACTGCATATGAATGTACTTTACCTTTTGATGCATTTCAGCTACCTTTTATTGTCATTCCGATAGAAATCAATAATAAGCCCTTTGTGATCTGAATTGTTCTGAATGCGCTCGCTGAAAAACTCGCAGTGCTTTGAACATTACAAGCAGCATGGCAAATATAAATAACACAATAAATATTGTTTATTTTATTGTGTTTCTAAACATGCAGCAAAAAACTGTAGATTCTCTAAAATTTTGACGTTTTTGTTTGCCGTATTTCCCTCCTCTTATACAGGGAGATTCACTCGAAAGAGGCCTCAAATATTCTGTTGTCACTACCGTTAGGATAAAGCATTCTGTACCAAAAAAATACGCTACATATGTTGTATTACATATGTGTAATTGTTTGCATTACATGCGATGCTGGAAGTGATCTCCATTCTCTGCCAGACACATGTAGGGGTACGGGGGTATGCACTCGGACGTTGCAAAACATTGTGAGGAGCACATTGCACAATGTTTCATTCAGATTGATGTGTCCTAGCAAGAGTTATTCCAGAATATTCGGTGCCTCTTTCGAGTGAATCTCCCTGTATTAATAAGTTAATAAAGTTAGGAGGAAAATAATATAAAATAAAAACAGTCCAAGTGTAGTGTTTACTATCTGTACATTCAGAAGTATGTGGAAAAACGGTGTCTGTGCTAAGATGACCTCCTGCCAGGAGTGATATTTTTCTTTGCCAATAAAACTAATTATGATTACTCATCTTTTTTTCCCACTGTTTGTCCCTCTCTGCCAGGACCGTAAGAAGATCGAGATCATCGTGCAGGACTATGAGACTCGTTTGACAGAAATGCAGCGCTGCCTTCGGTTCGTTGCGGAGGGGATCCGTCGACTACGCTGCCACCCTCTGCTCCGGAGGAACAACTACTATGCCGGCGACTGGGAGGTACGACGAGCGCTACAGACCATTAGCCTGGTCAGCGAACCTGTGGAGCGAGCGGAGGAGATAGTGGACACAGCCATGGCAGCCTTGAACAGCGTGTGTAAAGGCATGGATAAGTACTTCACCAAGGACTCGAGGGAGCTGAAGAAGGGATGCAAGAAGGAAGTGACGATGCGAGTGCAGATGCTGGCCAAGCAACTGCATGATGGCTTGGTGCAGCTGAACTCCATTAGAGAGCAGTTACTGGATGCAACTGGGCATGTTTAGAATTGTTGGGTCAGGCTTTGGTTGACAACCATGTGGACGTTTCAGTGGTGATGCCAGTGATGTCCGAAAGGAGTAGAACTGGTCCAAATACGGATCAGCTGTTGCTTCGGAGTGTCTGGTTTTGCATGCGACTATCCAAGACAGGCCACATCCCACAAAACATCTTAAAAGGATGACACTAAAACGAATGCTCACTTGGTGTCAAGGTTCAGTCGGTATAGAAAAATAATATGATTTTAATATACACCAGCGTCCAAAAGTCTGAAATCACTTTTTATATTAATGTTTGCTTTTTTTAATATAAAATAGCAAAAAAAATGCAGGTTTAAATACACATTTTGATGTATTTAGATGTAATATTTCAAATATTTTGGCTAAATAATAGAATAAATAATATACTGTAATTATCTATTAATTTATACTCTACTTTTTTGTCAAGTTATCTGCCTCAAGATGTGATTATTTTTTAAACATGTGAGGGATATTAACTTCATGCAGTTATTTTAGAATCAACTACAGCTTTGTTTATCATCCTAAACACATCTAAAACTTCTACAGCTTTTTGTAATTGTATTAAATTGTGAGGTTGCTCAGGCCTGTCATATTAGAATCATTCTATGTATTTATCGGCCACCGTATTGATTTTATATTATTGAAAACGTTCTAATTGGTCCAGTTTCTGGGGTCCGTATTAAGCCTAGGTTCATGGGAAACCCCATTGGCAGTGCATTTTAGTCTAAGACTATGTTCGGTATATGTCCTAGAATCTTCTAGAGGTGATACGACAGAAATGAAATATCATGATACTTAAGATGTTTTCACGATGTACAGAATATGATGATGCTGACTTTTTCTGACATCTGATCAGTTGGAACAAAGTAAAAAAACAAAAATTAAAAATGAATATAATGATTTATATTCAACACTTTACATTCTATGCTACACTAAATCCCATTAAACAGGACTAACTGTGCTCTCTTTTTAAAGAACATGCATTTGATCAGTAGTTAAGTTCTGACTGATATCTATAAAATACTCAGAAATCATATTATGACATTTATCACGATAACGATAAATACTGTCATATTGCCCAGCCCTACTGTCTCCTACTAAATTTGAGAGAACTTATATAATGAGAGAACTTCATTCACTGTATGCACTTGAGTTGATTATGAGTACTTGTGGTGTTTATTAAACCTTCACCTTCGTTGCTGTTAAGCACCCGACACTTTCTCTTAATCTGAACACTGTCTGTGGTTGGACATCTGGTTTCTTAGTCGCTTGGTTCTTGTTCTGAATTCTCACTTCCACAATGCTAGATAACTTCCCAAAGTCAAGCCTGTCCAAGGAGAAAAGAGCTGAAGGATATTCCCATTGGACAGTCCTCATCTTTGGGCTTACGTTATCTGGCTAACTGAGAAATCCTCCTAGTCTGGATAGTTTTCTGTGTTTATGTCTGTTTTTATGTGATGTTCTCATTTTAAAAGCTTTAATACTTTTATATGTTACTGAAAATAAAGCTGTTGAAATGTTTTAAGGCCGTTCAGATGTGTTTCATTATGCGTGTACATCTTTCTGAAGGCCACAAAACAGCTGTTCCTCCATGTGACTGTGGGCATGACTTTTATTTACTGTCCACACTAGTCCTCTATGGTCCATGCCAGAGGAGCAGAAGTGACGTGGTCTCCACACCCACAACATTTCCCAACATGCCGAAAAGAAAGAGGAAGACCAAAACACTTCACTTTCAGCTGCTTTCTGCCTCGAAACTGGGTAAAGTCACGGTTTTCTCCTTCACATTACACAGAGGACAGCAGCAGAAATGGCCTGAGCTCTGAGAGGAGGACTGGGTGTGTTTAGACGTCGTGACGAACTGCAGAGTTTTTTGGACGAACTTCTGGTCACAGTTCTGAGGAAAAGCAACAACAGCACGCCTAAAACTCAAAGGGACTTGATTTACAGCTGAAGGAGCAGAAGTAAGTTAGAGAACTGACTTAAAAAACAATCTCGTTTTAGGAGTTAAAAGCCTGTCAGCTTTATCTGCAGAGTTTTCAACGCTATTTCTGTGTAAGTTTAGCTGTAATTTGCGCTTACGTGTCACAAAACATGAGATAAAAGTAAAAATTGAAACATTAGTGTTATTTATAGTGTCCAGTTCTTCGACTAGCCTGTCATATTGTTTTATTAATCTCTTTAAAGTGGACTGCATGTATCGAAAACGTCCCTCAGCGTTATTTAACTGCTAAACCACCAGATTCATCCCTGCAGTCATTATTAATGCATGTTATTACGTGATTCCCGCCAAACGAGTCTGAGGTAAATCTGTTTCACCTGGATTAACAAACAAGTCTGTTACGAAGGGGCTGTTTGGAGCTAAATGTCCTCCCCCTTTAGTGTCATATTTTTTGCTGTAAAGTTACATATTTACATGTGAAATTAATTCAAATGAGCTTAAAAATTGTACTATGCCACAAATAGCCTAAGGGATGCTGGTTATTGTAGTCTGAGAACATTAAGGGACAAAAATTGATGCAAAATCGTGCATTCCGTCACATCACTGAGGCTGAGAAATGCAGTGAGACCTGAAAAAACATCACAACATATTAAATGATAGTTTTAGGGTTGAAAGCCCACTGTTAAGTGGGTTTATATGTGCTGAAAACTCCCTTTAACATTAGGTAATTATTAAAAAACCACCAAATTCCTGTCTTCGTACAGCTGACCTTGTTCATTAGTGCAGGCTATGTGATTCCTGCCAAACGAGTCTGAGGTAAATCTTATTTTACCTGGATTACTTTATAAGAATTTATTTGGAAGTAGTTTGGAAAAACTACAAACACTTTGGGGGCGGATACTTGAGGGCAGGTTGGCTGGCTGGCTAATGCAGAAGGAAACCAGTTGCTGACGCTACTGCTAAGAAGCCTAGTAAGCTATGATGTCTGTATTGACCAGCCTTTATATTGCCAGCTACTTTAGTAGTCACCTTTCTTTATCACTGTGGGGGGATTCCCAGTGGTTGCATGGCTTATTTACATAATGCATGCTGGGTATTGTAGTCTGAGGACTGAAAACTAAGGCTGAAACACAGAAATTATACAAAATCATGAATTCTGACAAATCTGCACCTGAGGAGTGCAGTGCTGCACTGTACTTAATGGATTGTATTAACATACTACATTAATGTATTGCAATACATGTTAAATAAATTAAAAAATATATAAAAAGTAATTGGGCACACATATTAGGTATATGACCCCAAATCACAATGTGAAGGGCCCGTATCATGGAAAAGCAAATTTTCCTCACTTTATTAAAATAAGAGTTTAATGTAGTGTTAGATTTTTAAAATTAAGCATTCACTGCCCAATTTATACAGTTTTGAATTCCTTATTTTTGTGATATCATAAAGTATGCACTGACATATATCCACCTATTCAGCCTGCAACAGTTTAGCTCCGCCCATTCACATTGAAGTTATAAAGAGTGTTTCAACCTGGAATGAGCCACAAAAGAGGGCGTCTTATCCAAACAGAGGTCATTTACACACATCAGTCTTCAAGGCACAGTAAGAAAACCAGCCTGTTTAATTCTACGGCATAAAGAGAGGTTGGAAAGCAGTCATGTTAAAAATGAATCACGTCTGTTTTTGATATATAAACCCACACAAATGTAATAGCTGGACCTCAGGGAAAAAAGAAAAGTCAGAAAAATGTGGTATGTGATATGGGCCCACCGTGATATGGGCCCACAGTCAAGCTAACTGTGTAGCATTATAAGGCTACATCTGCAACCAGAATCCATGATTAATGGGCTTTTCATTTTCACTGCAAATGATATATGAGAATAAATGGAAAACTTAAAGGGGAACTCCACTGATTTTTCAAAAATTCTACATAATAAAGTGGTTGAAATGTAAACAAAGTCATTCAGAGTGGTTTGGTGTGAAATGCTCCGTTCTAGAGAAACTTACTGACTCAGAATTGTATATAGTGGTGGTGATAGGAACCAGACGTCCACCTCTAAAAAGAAAGTTCCCTCACAGAAAGTTTTTTTTTTTCGGATTTCTGACTATTTTACCATCATCAACATTACACATAAAAACCCTCATGTAGGTTCACTGGTGGTTTTGTATAGTAAATAACATGGCTATATTTGTGTTGTAGTCATGGTGACCCCTGGTTCCTATCACCACCACTGTAAAGACATCTGAACCATTTCACACCAAACCACTCTGAACGACTGTTTACTTCTCTACTACTGAATTATACAGAGAAGTTGAAAAATTGGTGGAATTCCCCTTTAAAGATTCATACCAGAGAAACAGTGGAGAATGTGCTGTTTCGCTGTAATGAAGTTGTATCTTTCTCCTCAGTTAAATGCGTATTTTAAGCCTGGAATACTTTGTTTGTTCTTATTTGAATGGCTTCCTTTGAACCTTCGGGAGTAAGCAAGCTTTCTGTAATCTTCCAGAGAAAATGTGTGATTTGGGCACATGATCATCACTTGATCAAAGCATAGTCATAACACTGTCTTTGGGGTTTTCTGTGTGTGTTTGTTTGTTAGATATTAACTTCTGTAGGAGAGATCACACATGTTCCGAAGCGAAAAGGCGCCTGTGGTCCCACCGGGGCCCACCCCGCAGGTAAATGTGTGTCTTTTATTATACTACATATATTTAAGGGATGTTAGTGTATTACAGGTTATTTCTTTCTTCTTTTGGAAACAGGAACTGAATAAATCAATCAGATCCAACCCACCCAAAGAGACACAAATAGACCCCAAAGCACAGGTCCGTCTTTTTCTCTTTTCCTTTTTAATTCCACAGATTATTCTTGGCCTTAACAAAACCTTGGATCTCCAAACTGAAACCTTAATAGGAAAATGCACTTTAATTTAATACATTTAATACATAATTCAATTAACGTTGTACTTTTTTATTGATCCAACTCTATGAAACGTTCACACAGTGTAAAGTGCAGCCAGCATGGTGTAAAGAAATAAAACAGAAAAAAGTTGAATTGCTATTACTACAATTGATATGATCGTGACAATATGCGTCTGGTTTAGTCAATGAGAACTAGTACATAAGACCTACAGTACAAAATCAGTGACCACCCTTCTGTTTAACCCACAAGCAAAACAGCCCTTAAACACAAGTTACTCATTTTGTAAGGTAATTATGAGGACATTAGATATTAGATTAACCACCTGCATAAAGAAGAAGACAGTCAAAGGAAAGAAAATAAGCGAGAAAATGAGCCCCCTCCTCCTCCTAACAACCATCTGGAAGACCTGTTAGACATCAAAACTGCCCCCATCAGATAAACAGCACTCAAAGCTTTCATCTTTGAGAGAGAGGAGAAAATCAAGCTGCTTCAGATCTGAAAACATCCACAGGTGTTTCTGTCCATCCTTCCACTGTGAGAAGACGACTCAGCGCTATGGGTCTGAAAGGATGTGTAGCTGTCAAGAAGAACCTCACTGAGAAAAGGAGACGGACACATCAAACAAAGAAGCTGAACAATGGACTGACCACCCCAGAGTCCAGACCTCAACATCACTGAATGTGTTTGATTACTTCAGAAAATGATCAACCAGCTTCTAAGACTTTGGAACTTTGGAGTGGAAAATGTTGGACTTTATGACCGTTTTGGGTGGAAATTCAGTAGATGAAGGGTGGTCTCTGGTATTTGCTCAGTGCTGCATGCCATGTATGATATGTTTGTCTTGTATACATTGTTTTGTTTTGTTTATGTTTGTTTACACTGTTCTTCTGAATTATCCACAGACGTCAGGGATGATGGGTATGCTGGAAAAGATGAATCCGTTCAGATCTTCCCCTCAGGTAATTACAACGTACTCGCCTACACCCATAGCACATACAGTGCCAGTTCCTCATGTCCTGCAGTGGTGTTTCTCAATCTTGCTCCTGCAGCACCCTTGCGTTGCACTGCTCCCCATCAACCAAGCCATTCAGGTTTTAACATGCCAGCTTCCATACCTTTAAAATGGGTGTGTTGGAGCAGACACTGAAGTTTCAGGACATGGATAACATATACTTTAGCCTTAATACAGTCATAGAGTTCTCATATTTTATTACAGGTGGTATAAGGTCAGTACAGTAGAGATGCAGGAAATATCAAATAGCTTCTTTTAAACCCTGAAGTTTTACTGATTCATCTGATACACTGTTCAGTCTAGCTCAGGGTTCCCACCCCAAATGTTAAGAAGAGCCATTTCGTTGTTTCAACAAAAATCAAACCACCTTGGGAGCCAAATTTTATGTCCATTTTACCATTTTGGCTGTAAATACGTCTCAGTATGTGCTAATGTGCTAGTATAGAATAAAAAATAGAAACCAAAACACACTTACTTACAAAACAGACTTACTTTGCTCTGCTTTAAGCTTTAGCTCAGCTATAGCAGCTTTTCTCACGTCTCCGGCAGGAAACTTTTCCACAAAACTGTAGAACATTTTCTTGTAAAATGCCTCTCAGTGTTTGACTTTTTACGAGGCTGAAGTTGCTTCTCATTCGTCAGCTTCTTGTTTGAATTTTTTGAATTCCTTCTTAAAAGAATGAGAACGTAATTGCTGCACCATTTAAGGTGGAATGGGGAAACTCCAGCTTCGTAACCTTTTAGTGTTTGAAAGTTTCTCATTGCAGATTAAACATATCAGGAAACCAGCTGGAGTGATTATAAATGCAAATAAGTCAATTCGTCTCCAAATTATCGATGTTCGTCTGAAATCTTTCTCTTTGCCTTTTCGTTAGCTACTAGCCAGGCGAGATTGTTGTCTGTGTTGCTATGGTGACCAGCAGTCTGTGCTGATCTTCAGGGTTAAAGGGTGAACTAGCAGTTCTACATTAACTCCAGTGTTTAAGACTATTTATTGCTAAAACTGTGTTGAACGATCAGCAGGGACAGAATTTTGTCCATACTTTTGTCTATTTTTATTAAAATAGCTTAGCCTATCTGTAGATATAGAGCAGATCTGGATAGGTAAGTAGATTAATGTACCTAACAACTCACCACAGTTTATTATATCCATCACTTTGTGCGATGATTTAGACATGCAGTTTGTACAATGCTAACTGGTCCACATAAGCTTCCATTATTTCTTAGCTATGCAATAACGAAACCTTTTCATGATGGTGTGAAATAATAGTTAACATAGATTTAATTTGATGTAAACAGTATCACGTTTTTTTGTGATGTCACAAAAACCAGTGCATATACATGTATTTTCACATATTCAGCCTATGGTGAAGTTATGAGGAGTGTTTCAGCCTGAACTACTTTTTTTGAATGAGGCGCATTACAGAGCAGACAATCAGAACAGAGCTCATTTACAAATATCAGGGACAGCGAGGTTGTAAAATGATCGTGAATTACCTCTACATAGGTAATTGGTTACCATAGAATTAGAACAGAAAACACACAAAAACACACAAAAGTGATGAGTGGGCCTCTGGAAAAACATAAGGGGGATGCAAACTGCATGTTATCCAAAAAACTCTCTTTGCAATTGTAACAAGCTGTTGTGTCTTTGCAAGCTGCACATACTTTCTTCCAGCTAACAGTCAGTTCTTTCCTGACGTTCCTCCGAGATGCAACTAGCAGGACGTCTCAAAGGAGTTTTGGAGCTGCCTAGACGCCTCTGTTACACCTCCCAACGCAGCTTGATTGGGTTAAGAATTGGGCTTCCCGTTACATACAACACCTGTTCTTCTTCCTCTCCAAATGCTGGTGATGCACGGAAATGAAAATTCGTGGCTGAAAACAAAACTAAAATTCAGGACCCACTAGACTGAAAATCGGAATCAAAAAACGGAAAAAACTTTTTTTTTAATTAATTTTTTTTTTAAGTTTGGGTTTTTATTTATAAATGTAAATGGAACAAATCCATAAAACAAATGGTTTAAGGACTTCAGTATATACATCATGCAAATACTGACATATCATTGTTGTCAGAAGAAAACCTTATATCTCCATTTTTGTTGTTTTTCAGTTTTTGACATAATTTGAAAATACCTGTTTCTCTTTACATTGTATGTAAATTTCATGACGAATGGACTAAAAGAAATGACCCAAAATTCTGATTCCATTGACTTACATTAAAAGTAAAATTACTGTTGACTGCATTCAACATGTTGAGGAAATATAAGATAAAGTGTGGTCAATGTGCACTAAATGCCAGATTTAAGTTCAATTTAGATGTTTTTTACTTATAAAATCAACAAAACAACTCATTTGGATTGGGACCTTTGTATACGACAATATGTATATTATTATGAATTATAATTATAATTATAATGAATGATATGTTATTCATTGCCTATGCTTGTGTCATTAAGTCCCTGTTTAGGTAGCCTTCAAACGATGTTATCCAATTATCAAATTCTCTGTAAAACATTTTTACAGAACTTTAGTTTACAGTGTCTTTTTTATCTTGACAGGGAAGGAAAGATGAGACTTCCAGACAGCGCACTGTAGAGGAGGTATCTGTGGTGCATCGTTCTGCATGTTTCTTTGTAAAGATTAATCTCAGGCTGTTGACCGTGCAGAATGTGATACTGAACGGGTTTGAACTCTCTCCTCCATCAGAGTTCCTTATCAGTGAGTAGATCTTCAGTCTCTGGCGAAAGTAAAGAGGCCAAAGTCATCGAGGCGAATCAGGTGAGATTTGCTTTCGTTTCGGTGACTTTTGCACATGATGAAGCTAGTTGCACTTCAGCACTGTCACTTTAGCACATTACATGTTAGCATCTCTGGATTATCAGAAACTGTGAAGGTGAAACATTCTTTAACAAATGTTTGTAAAGGCAGACTTCATGGCTAGATGCTTGATTTTATACACCTCTGGAAATGAGACTGAATGAAACACCTGAATTCAGTGATTAAGAGGTGTGTCCCAAAACTTTTGTCCATATAGTGTATCTGGCTAATGTTCACTCCTTCAATAACAAACTGGACTAACGTTACCTCAGACTGCAGCTGACCACATAGCTGGAGATGAGGGATTACTGAAGCATCAGACTCCGCCATTCAGCTAAAGGGCATAACGTTAGCAGGTTTTGCACTGTCGTATGTTGTGTCATGAGCTTATCAGTAAAGAGGTTATGAATAAACAATTTTTAACTCTACTCATAAACATTTAAACTCCACAGGCACATCTTTGAGTGACTCCTTTTTGTAAAATGTGTGATTTCAGAACACCGGCATGATAAGTGGATTCATTCAGATGGTCAACCCATTCAAGTCATCTTCACAGGTACTGAAACACGGTTAAATTTAGTGAGATTGAACAGATGAACACAGCACTGGTCTAAAAATGTATTTGAATCTGAAGTTGGTGCTTAGAGTGCATCGGTTTGGAATGATAGAATTCATTATAATCAGTAATATACAGTCGTTTGCAAAAGTTTGGGCGCCCCTGGTCAAATGACATACGTTTTCATTCTCTACCAAGAACACTTTTGCCTGGTTTGATGCAAAATTACTGTTTATTTGTTGAATTTAATATGTTTGGAAAGAAAATAATAAAATAAATATAACATGTATAACATATATAAAAGTTATGGCACATTACACTTTACATGTTATTTATTTATTTATTTATTCATTTTGTCTTTTAACTTAGAAAATAAAAAGAAACTGTGCAGTAAAATTAGCTGTAAAATGCCAAATATTTTGTTCCCTGTAGAGGATGCATTAACTTATTTTGAAACGCAATTTGACTTAGACTTACAGAATTTTAGTGTATTGTAAAACGTCACATTTCTGTTTCTCTTGACAGGGAAGGAAAGAAGAGACTTCCACACAGCGCACTGTAGAGGAGGTAACTGTGCTGCATCTGTCTGCATATTTCTTTGTGAAAATTAATTCTAGACTGTTAAACGTTCCAATACGTTAAACTCACCCAATAAACAGTAATTGTACACCAACATTTGCAGGAAAATGCCATATTTAAGTGTGTTTTCCGTAGAGGATGTGTTAGCCTATTTCAAAATCAACAAAAGTGTAATTTGACCAGAGGTGTTCAGACTTTTGCATATGACTGTGTATGATCATCTAGTGTTAAAGGGCCCCTATCATGGAAACCTGAATTTTCTTCATTAATTTAAAGCCTTTAAGACTGATGCAAAAAAGTGGCTGTCATTTTTGATATGCAAAGAATGTGATCTAACAAAGCTGAAATTGAAATTTTTTTTAATTCAGTTTGTGTCACAAACTACCATTTTGAACAAGAAAACACATGATTAGAAACATAAGTCACACATCAGTCGCTCTTTATCGTCACTCTGGTTGAACAAATTAATAATAAATGCATGCATGATCAGAATTCAGCTCTGAATGAGCTCATGCACTCTTAAAAAAAATATTGTTTACATTCCACACAATTTGGTTTGTGTATGGAAAATGACCTTCAATTTTTTTTTTAATAATGTCACAAAAACCAGGGCATTTACATATTCATATGTATCTGTTCAGCTTAGACCAGTTTAGCTCCGCCTATTCTCACTGAGGTTATAAAGAGTGTTTCAGCCCAGACTGCTTTTTGAATGATGCACAATACAGGGCCATTCAGAACAGAGCTCATTTACAGATCAGTCTTAAGGCACAGTAACAAAAACAGCCTGTTTAGTTCTAAGGGATAAAGAGAGGTTGGAAAATGGTCATGTAAAAGTGATTTATGGCTGTTTTTTGGTTCATAAAATACCGCAAACATCATAATCCGACCCCGCAAACTGCAAAATATAAAATGAGCCTTTTGATATTACAGTATTGTAATGGGTGTGGCTTTAATTCTCTCTATGTGTCTCACATCCCAGAGATCTGAATCAAGCAGTCAGACTTCTGCAACTGGAAACAGTGGTGAGGATAAAGCCACTGGAGAAGGACAGGTGAGTTTCTGAGCTGATGTAAAAAAAAAAAAGAAAACAGTCCTTTTTAAATAATACACAGTAACTAAAACCACAGTACTGTGCTTTAGTTACTGTGTATACTGAGACCACCCTTTCACTTATTTAATTTCCAGTCAAGATGGCCATTAAGTACAAGTTATTTGTTTTTCAACGTCAGGAAAAAGCAAGAAAGATGCATTTAACAAAAAAAGTATAATATGAAATCTGTCACTCTTGATTCACTTTTTACTTTTGTGCACTTTGCTGCTACTTTAACTCCTCCCCCTCCTTCCAAACTTAAAACCAACCAGTTTTAGCAGCATCCTCCTAATAGAAGCTTCCCAAAGATCTGCTTGACATTGTTTCCTTTCGAACAGACACCAGCATTTACACAAGCAACTACCTAAACACACCTCAGCTGCCTCACATATTTGTTTCTCATGTGTATCTAAAATGGCTAAAGGAGATATTTCTGAGAAGATTACGTTGAAGATTATGCATGAGGGTAAAGTGAAAATATAGGATTGACGAGACCTGGTAGTCCACCAAAACTGTCCCCATCAGATAAACAGCCCTTAAAGAATTCATCTTTGAGAGAGAGGAGAAAGTCAAGCTGCTTCAGATCTGAAAACATCCGCAGGTGTTTCTGTCCATCCTTCCACTGTGAGAAGACGACTCAGCGCTATGGGAGGATATGAAAGGATATGTAGCTGTCAAGAAGCCTCAGTGAGAAAAGGAAATACTGAGAAATTTAGTAATATTTGGTTATTGAGGTTTCTGAAATTGTCTGTTAATTGTATAATTTGTTTTTTTTTTTCCTGATGCAGAAAAATGATCTTAAATAAAAAAAGAATGGTCTATATCTTTTGCATAGTACTGTATACATAAATCTTAAGGTCTCAAGAAACTATCCAGTTGTAACCAAGTTGTTTGAATCAGCTGTTAATGGTATGACACATTTAGTTTACTTTGTCATTTGAGCTGTTCTATCGCTCTGTTTTCTCATAGAACCCTGGACTGGTTATGGGACTGATTCAGAAAGTAAACCCATTCAGGTCTTCACAGGTACAACAAACACACACACTCACACATTTACACTCTCAGTGACATCAGCACAATTCACTTGTCAATCTGTTCCCTGTGCTCAGCAGTAAAGATTTGTCTGTTTCAGCACCTGACCCTCCGTCTCAGTCTTGCTCTTTCCATCTCTAGAACCCAGACAATGACGATTCCACCCAAAACACAGATGGGAACGAGAAGGTAAGACCAGTTTCTGAAAAAGCAGGCAGTCTCTTTTGTCTGTATATATTCTACAAGGGTTTTTTTTTTTATTCTTCAGAGTGTGTTCTTCAGCATTTGTTGGTTCTTGTTTAAGCCTGTTTGTACTATTGTTTTATTCCCCCCATTTATTTATTTATTTATTTATTTGGATTATTGAATGACATGAAAGAGAAATATGCCCTGTTCTGAAGCATCTTCCTTGCTTTTTTGGTTTTGTGAAACTGTGTTTTTTGCTAGTTCTCGACTAAGAGAACTTAATTGAGGTTAAGTAAACATTCTAAAGAGTCATTTGTCGTTGAAGGAGGCATTGAAGGAGGCATTGAAGGAGTCTGAATCAGAGGCCATGTTACCTTCAACCCAGAAAAACAAGGATTTAGCAACAACTGAGGTATGTGTGTTTGTGCATGCAGGTGTTTAATAGCTCCTCCTTGTGGGAATCTGAATTAATGGTATGTTTTCATGAAATGAATATTTATATACAACCCCATGTCCAAAAAAGTTGTGATGCTGTTCAAAATGTAAATAAAAACAAAATGCAAAAATATGCAAATAATATAAATCCTATTTTTAATTAAAAATAGTACAAAGACAACATGTCAGATATTGAAACTGAGAAATTTCATTGTTTTTTTGTTTTTTTTTAATATATGCCCATTTTGAATTTGATGCCAGCAACACGTTCCAAAAACGTTAGCACAGGGGTGTGTTCACCACTGTTTTGCATCCCCTCCTTTTTTAACACCACCCTGTAAGCATTTGGAGAGACCAATTTCTGTAGATGCTTGAGTTCTGGGTCTCCTTTGTTGTATTTTTTGTTTCATAATGTGTCAATGCTAAAAAAAAAAAAAAGACCTGGTAGTTAATTGGCAAAAGTCAATAACATGATGGGGTATAAAAAGAGCACCGCAGAGAGGCTGAGTCTTTCAGAAGTAAAGAGGGGGAGGGGTTCACCACAAAGAGTCTGTGGGCAAATAGTGCAACAGTTCAAGAATAATGTATCTCAATGTAAGTTTGCAACAAACTTAGGGATTTCATCATTTACGGTAGATAATATCATTAAAAGGTTCAGAGAATCCTGAGAAATCTCTGTATGTAAGGGACAAGGCCGAAAACCAAGTTAACACTCTACCATTCAAAGAAGAAACCATATACACACTGATCAGGCATAACATTCTGACCACCTCCTTGTTTCTACGCTCATTGTCCATTTTATCAGCTCCACTTACTATATAGGTGCACTTTGTAGTTCTACAGTTACAGACTGTAGTCCATCTGTTTCTCTGATACTTTGTTAGCCCCCTTTTACCCTGTTCTTCAGTGGTCAGGACCCCCATGGACCCTCACAGAGCAGGTACTATTTGGGTGGTGGATCATTCTCAGCACTGCAGTAACACTGACGTGGTGGTGGTGGTGTGTTAGAGTGTGTTGTGCTGGTACGAGTGGATCAGACACAGCAGTGCTGCTGGAGTTTTTAAACACTGTGTCCATTCACTGTCCAGTCTATTAGACACTCCTATCTTGTCAGTCCACCTTGTAGATGTAAAGTCAGAGACGATAGCTCATCTGCTGTTGCACAGTTTGTGTTGGTCATCCTCTAGTCCTTCATCAGTGGTCACAGGACGCTGCCCACAGGACGCTGTTGGCTGGAAATTTTTGGTTGGTGGACTATTCTCAGTCCAGCAGTGACACTGAGATGTTTAAAAACTCCAGCAGCTCTGCTGTGTCTGATCCACTCAGACTAGTGCAACAAACACTAACACACCACCACGTCAGTGTTACTGCAGTGCTGAGAATGATCCACCACCCAAATAGTTCCTGCTCTGTGAGGGTCCATGGGGGTCCTGACCACTGAAGAACAGGGTAAAAGGGGGCTAACAAAGTATGCAGAGAAACAGATGGACTACAGTCTGTAGTTGTAGAACTACAAAGTGCACCTATATAGTAAGTGGAGCAACATATGCTGCCATCCAACAAGACAATGGCAAACCACAGTCTGCATGTATTACAACAGCATGGCTCTGTATTAAAAGAGTCTGGGTGCTAAACTGACCTGCCTGCGGTCCAGACCTGTCACCACTGAAAACATTTAGTGCATAATGAAACGAAAAATACGACAAAAGAGATCCAGAACTGTTGAGCAGCTGAAATCCTATATCAAACTAGAACGGGAAAACCTTTCACTTTACAGCAATTGGTCTCCTCATTTCCCAAATGCTTGAAGAGTGTTGTTAAAAGATGAGGTGATGCCACACAGTGGTAAACATGCCCATGTGATTTTGAAATCTATTTTTGTTTTATTATTTTATTTTTATTTAAATTTTTTCCTACAATGTCCCAACTTTTTGAAGGCAGGTTGGACAAACCTTTTTTTCCACAGTGAAAATGAAAATTTGTTAAACTTTGTGCTTATTGTCAATTATTTGCGCTACAAAACTTGCAACTTTTAGAGCACCAGTGCTGCATGCTTAAACAATTACATAGAGCACTGTTAGTAGTAGTTGTTGTAGTAGTAGTAGTATTTCCATAAGTACATCTACTAATGCTTTTGGTCACATCATCAGTGATGATGCTGGAATAGTGTGGTGGTTAAAAGCTTCATCTTTGTTACTTCATTATATTTCTTTTTCTGTTTTATGTTTAGGGAGGTGCATTAGGATCCACTACACACACCGAACCCAGTTCTCACAAGGTGCTTGGCTTTGAGTGGAACCATTTCAAGGTAGATTCAGCTTAAATTAGGCTTGTTTCATAACATATTGCATGAGAGAGGTTTCGACGCCACATCTAAGCGATTGGGACAGTGCTACATCAGAAAGTGACATCAAAGGTGCTTTTTGAGCTTGTTTTCATTTGGTTCAAGTCCAAAACTCCTTCAACAGGAGAAATAGTTTTTCATATTTCCTTTATCTAGCAGCATTTCATAACAGTGGTTCAGGTTACACCAAAACTTACCTTTAGCAATGACAGAGAGTTGGTTCTTCTTGAAAACTGAAATGATCTGCATTTAGATACTGCCTCCTGCTGGTTTGCTGAGGTTTCACAGTTTTTTCCCCTTCTGTTGATATAGATGTTTATTCAAGCAGATGTTTCTGAAGTTGGGAAGGTGTTATGAATTGTATTGTCATGAGGCTTTGCTTTTCACTTTAAGAAATTAGGAATCCTCACTGAAAGAGTTGCTTTTCTGGCTCCAGTGGCATCTTTTGAAATCACTTGATATCTTTTTATGCAACTGTAAGAGGTGGTGTCAAGCTTCAATGAGTGGACATGGAAAGACCCAACAGCCATTGTTTCACACACTGATTTCAACTATAGACTTACTCTTTAGTTATTAATATTAAGGCCTATTCTTCACTAACTATTATGTGTTATTCAGTCAATACTTTGGCGCTAATATGCAAGCTGAGAGTGAAGTATTGAAGTGTGGACCCACATACTGTCCCTTAGAGTTTAAGGAGTTCATCTGAACTTGGTGGGTCTTTATCTTTTGACAGAAAGACTCTGTTGAGATTCCCACTGCGGCAGAACCGTCGGTACCGAGTGAAGGCAGTCCTCAGCAGTCTGATGATGTAGGTTTGCCAGCTTGTAACATAATAATGTTACAAAGAGAAATTTTGATATTTGAAATTTAAATGAAAGACAGATAAAATCATGTGTTTTTCCCAGGATGAAGACTTCTTATTGGAATGGTGGGGGACTGTGGAAGGTATGGTGGAGGTGAAAGTCTATTTTATGTATGTTATGTTTTGCTATCTGTATGAGCAGAGAAATGACTGTCGTTTGCCTCTTAAGGTTGGAATGAATGGAACGAGTCTACAAACTTTGATGGAGAAGATGCAGAGCAGTAAGATGTTTAGACTATTAAATTGTAGAGTACAGATTGAGTATCATGCATTTACAGTATATTACATCTGCAGAATGTTCCCTTGCTTTTTCTCACAGAGCTGTAGAAGCTGCTGCTGACCGTGTTTTCATGGCTGCCCGTCTGTTCGTCCATCTCTTCAACCAGCGGGAGGCGTCGCTGCATCAACGCGTTTTGGAGATGCTGGCCTTGGCTGACGCAGCGGACAGCTTCCATAAGAAAACAGTGACGGCTAGTGTTGGAGGAGGAGTAGCTAGTGTAGCTGGTAGCATCACTACCATCACGGGATTAGCGCTGGCGCCGTTTACGTTTGGAACATCATTGATCGTAACAGCGGTGGGAATTGGCGTGGCGACAGCAGGGGGCATTACATCAGCCTCTGCAAACATTACAGATACGATGCACTCGAGGACTGACCGAGCAAAAGTGGAGCAGATCATCCTGGGCTACCAGGAGGAGATCAATGACATTAAAGAATGCCTTCAGTTCCTGCAGGTGAGATGACAAGACTGACATATCTTGACAGGCTAGGTTTTTAAAAATTCTGTGAAATGTACATAGCAGGTTATATTATAATAGATAATGATTATCTTGTTGTCTTTTTAAATAATACTATTAGAAAAGTGTCTTTCTGCTTTTTGCTACTAATTATTGAAAAAGTATTGAATTTTTAGATTAATGCTTACTAGTTTAGTATGGCAGGAACATCACAGCATGAACAGACTTCAGTTTAGCTCTGTATGTGCAGCTTCCATTGTCATTACGTTAAAAGGTCATGAAGGTAGCTGAAGCTGCAAATAAGTAGGCCTCCAACGATAATGAAGTTTAAGCTGATGATTAAATGCAATATTTATCATTGCGATTAACAGGCATGTGCTTAGGGAAGCAGCCTTGTAACCGGAAGGTCACCGGTTCGATCCCCTGAGCCAACAGTACGTGACTGAAGTGCCCTTGAGCAAGGCACCTAACCCCCAACTGCTCCCCAGGCGCTGTGAATAGGGCTGCCCACTGCTCCGGGCAAGTGTGCTCACTGCCCCCTAGTGTGTGTTTACTAGTCTGTATGTGGGTGTTTCACTGCACGGATGGGTTAGAATGCGGAGGTGAAATTTCCCCATTGTGGGACTAATAAGGGTCACTTAATCTAATCTAATAGTAATAATAATTGTCTTTTTTTGTTCGTTGTATGTATAAAGCATGAAAAACAAGCTTAAAGTGGCCAAATTGTTTCGCTTCCTACCTTTCGATACTCATTAGTTCTAGACTGATGACAGGAACAGCCCGAGCTCAAATAAACGAACATAACTCACCACAGTCGAATTTGCCGAAAAGTTGTTTTTACACGTACAGTCTTGTTTGCGAGAAAGAAAATATATTTTTTTTTTCTCAGAAGTTGTTGACATCAAAACACTGCAGTCAGAACTGCAGTAAATGTAATTCAGTATGTAACTTACTATGTAGTTGTGTGATTGTAATTACATGTGTAGCAGAATGGCAGTAATAACTAGATTTCTATGTGTTAAACATTAATGTTGTCTTTTTTTGTCAACTTTATGTCACTAAATTTCTTGTCTTTTTCTCTCAGGCTGGTATGGAGACTCTGGAGGAGTGGAACTTCGAGCAGTACATGGACAGCATCTCAAAGCGTGCCATGAACAGGAACGTGAAGCATGTCATGAAGGAGGGTGGCAGAGCAGGCAAGGCGCTCCTCATCAACACAGAGAGTTTGGTCAGTACTGTGCAGGTGCTGGGGGCGGCCGGCGGAGCAGCCAAAGCTGCCCAGGCCATCACTGTGGCCAGCGGGGTGATGTCTGGCCTCTTCCTGGCCCTGGATGTCTTCTTCCTGGCCAAAGACTCCATGGAGCTGCGCAAGGGGGCCAAGACAGAGTTTGCGGCCAAGATCAGAGACGTGTGCAAGGAGCTGCAGGATGGGCTTCTCGAACTGAGGAAGATCAAAGAACAGCTGGAGGCAATTATGGAAGATGCTGAGGAAGAGGAGGAGGAGGAGGAAGAAGATGGTGATGCTGAGGAGGAAGAAGAAGGAGAAGAAGAGGAAGGAAGGTCTGAGGTAGACCCAAAGAAACCAAATGATTGAACACTGTAGTGGACTGTAGATGAAAAGAGAAGGTAAATGGGTTGACTAGCAAGGAGTTCCAGCTAGCAGGAATGCTTTTAGTGTTTTTAGTGAGGAGACATGAACTGTGCATAGAGACTTTAAGCTAACAATTGTATGCATGATTCATAACTTCTAAACTTTAATGCACATTTCTTCCGAGTTGATGCTGGGGTAGACTTTACATTCTTAGAGCTTACATTTGGGATCAAAGGTGTATTTCATTGTAATATAATTATATTTATATATATTATATATTATGTATTTCACATATTGGATGTATTTTAATGAGGGAGACTCTATCCCTTCTAGACGCACATATTCTGGCTTCTGACTGACTTAAAGATGCGAAAGTTTGTATTTATTTTGTAGGAAGAGACAAAAGACCGTTGAGTCCATTGAAGGCACTGGCAACTGGGAGTCGTTGGCTACAAAGTTGAAGTTAGTCTTCTAATGATGCCCCCACAGTTAAGCATATAGATGTGCATCACGTGAAAAAAATACATTTAATGCAATAAAAATAAACATAATCTCATGCCGGGGAAAACAGTTCAGTAAGCAAACAATAGCATTTCGCTAGCTAACTTGTTTTGCTTGTGTTATCAATTGTACTCTGGATTGTAAGCCTATGTTCTGACATCCAGCCCAAATCCAATTTTTGGCATATCTAGATTGCATCCAGATTGATAGTCTGGACAGTAAAAAATACATGAAATCCGATTTGCAAAAAAAAAAAAAACGGCTCTGGCTGTTCAAATCAGATTTCAGTGTGTCTTTTGCGTCACTCGCAACGCATCAAACAGCAACAGTGCCAAATCCAGAGTGATGGTGTGAAGCCCAATTTCACATCCCCGACCTGATTTCACTTCCCGAGGACCCTCGGCCAGAGTTAGCAAATTAGCACATTTTCGTTACCATGCAAGCCAGTGTAGATAAACACATCACGGTTTTAATTCAGTTGTGTGCTAGCTTTGTTGCGTTTGTTTGCAAATATATTTAAGTTTGGAAAAAGTCAGTACCTGTGCCTTTTGAGGTTCCTCCCAGAATTGTTGATTGACGGCTGTGATATGTATGATTCATCCAATAACACTGAAAACCGCGACCAGAAACTAGGGGAAGTAAGATCAGCACAGGGATGTGAGACTGGGCACCACAACGAAAGTGCTGGCATTTGCAAAGAGCACCGGAGATTCATGCTTATGCGTGTTTTGAAGAGTTTGAAGGGCGAGATTTACAGCGGCTTGTTAGGCCAGTTGCTTGTTAGCATGTTTTTTTTGGGTGTCCTTTAGATGTGTTCTCTTGCTTATCTTGGTTGAGCACCTCACATCACCTGGCTGTCATCATGATGTCACACAACTGGATGGTCATATTATTTCTCACTGCTATGTTTAGCTTAAAATGCACAAGTGTAATTAATTCTATGTTTTGAACATTTCATACCTGATTTTTGAGTTTGGGTCTTTGAGGTGTCCCGGTGTCCTGCTGAGAGATGGGTGGGTCAGAAAAGGTTTTAGGGGGTGAAGAGGGCGTCCCTAATTTTCACTTTAGGGTACTTATGAATTGTTATGATTTACTATATACCATTCATTGCTTCCAAACTCACTTGAGTAGATTTCACTACTCTCGATTTAACACTCTTCATATTGCAGTTTGCACATATTTAAATATTGTACTGGAAATACCATAAGTGTACTGTTCAGGTATTAAATTCAGTGGTCTCCATTTCATCTAGTAGCACTTTGGAAGTGACATGTTTCTGCTGTCTTTCAGGTTTAGGACAGTTGATAATTGAGAAGTTACAGCACTGTACTGTGATTTCATGAAATATGGCACTTGAATAATTGTTGTTTCATTCTAAGAAAAAGTTAGTGACGGCTTATTGTGGTATTATGTTAATCTACTGATGATCATGACACAGTTTCTTTTTAATCCATCACTAGAGGGCAGAGAAACGAGGCAGTGCTCGACTAGAGGACAGAGAAACAAGACAGTGCTTCACTAGAGGACAGAGAAACAAGGTAGAGCTCCACTAGAGGGCAGAGAAACAAGACAGTGCTCCACTAGAGGGCAGAGAAACAAGGTAGAGCTCTACTAGAGAGCTTCAATATAATTTCTGATTTTTTTAATGTTTTGTACATCCACACTTTTCCTTTATTATAGCTGCCATTCTTGCTTTCAGTTTTTCAGAGAATTGTATGATTATTTCTGGGATACAACAGATATTTTCCACATCTTCAAGGTTCAGTCTTAGAAGTTGGTTGCATTTTGTCCTTCTCACCATCCAAATACTCCCAGACATATTCAGTGAAGAATTGAAGATTATTTTTTAGATTTTCTTCACTTATAATTAAAAGACAGTCTAAGATCAATTGTAGTGAGCATCTAAAAAACTGTTTATTTTTGCAAACAGTGAATAAGAACAATCATTGTACTCATTCATTTATTTTATAAATTTTTAACGTCATACTGTTATGCATTTGTATGTATACTGTTAAGTATCACAATGTTCTGTTTTTGCCATATTGCCCACCCTTAACGGCCATCAATAAAATCAATGGACAGTTTTCATTTGTGTTGTCAGATTAGAATGTCTTATATTTCCTCTTAAATGAGATACTTAGAAAATACTCCCACTGAATAAAACAGAAAGCTCTGTATGCTCTCCACATACGCAGTGTTTAACACTATTTCTGAATTTTTTGGGGCAAAAAATAAAATAAATTGCCAGAAAACTGTAGTGCATTCAATGTTCATAACCCATTACAGTGAGTATCACTGTTAACATCTCAGTACATCAGTGTTCGTGTGAAACCTGGTCATGCATGTGTGGAAACAGTTGTTAGACTGCTTGTGTAAATAGTGACGTAATATTGTCTGTAGAGGGTGTAGCGTGCGAGGCAACCCAGTCCAGAAGACTCCACACCACAAACCATCACTTTTGATCTAAACCATCAAGGTATTTTATACTGTGCTTTTAAAATTTGATACCAGTGTGGTACCGCAGTCTATTCATCAAGATGAAATGTTTTGAATATAAATACATTGCAGTATATTTTGTTTAGTTTAGGGGTGAAACACTCCTTATAACTTCATTGTGAATGGGTAGCTACATGTAAATGCCTTATTTTTGTGGCATTAGTTCAAAACAGGCCATTTTCACAGCTTAATTTCCAAAATATTAGCTGTGTCCCAATTTAGGGGCTGCATCCTTCGGAGATGTTGTCATTTGAAAGCTGTGCCACAGCGGTGCGACTAGGCTTGAAGGCTTCTTCATGTGTGGCCAGAAAATGTGTCCTTATTTTCCATGATGAAGGATCCAACGGGTGGATCCTTTGTGGACCAACATATCCCGAGGTTCATTGCGTGCCGGCGAGCATTCGAGAACATGGTGGCGCCGGAAGAGGAGACACTTTAAATGTAAGTATTGGGACTAAACTGAGTCGAATATCTAACAATACATATTTAGCCAATGTGGTCTGAAGCTAAACTTGCGCTAACATTTTGTTTTGTTTTAGGAAGCGGGGAGCAGACAGAGAGATTTGTAAGACTGCGGGCGACTATAAGAAAACTAAAATCATAGTTTCTGGCTCCATCTTTAAAGAACTTTAAAGAACTTGACAGAAGCAGCATTTCGTGACGCAACAGTAAGCCGAACAGCGGCGCTGTGACGCAAACAGGAAATCCACCGTAGGGCAGTCTGTTTAAACCATTAGCTGTGTCCCACTTCAGGGGCTGCATCCTACGAAGGCGTGTCCTTCGAAAGGATGCAGCCCCTGAATTGGGACACAGCTATGGTTTATACAGACTGCAGGATGAACAGTATATTTTGCAATAATGTTTGCAAGAACGAAAGAAAGTTTCAGTATGTCACTGAGGGAGATTCAGTTTTCATTTTAGCCACTGTTTCATTTCGTTTTTGAAATGTCTCTGTAGCAACAGCTGCAAAGTAGACTCATAAATAAAGAACAGCCACTGTAAAATACCTTTTTGATAGGGATACATGAACATATATTGTTTAGTGACAAATGAAAAAAACGGTTTGATATGACACATTCATTCAAAATGCAGGTGTTCGGGTTAGCGAAATCGTTAGGTATGATGGTCTTGAACACTGTTCTACGATTAATTCCATATCCCTGTTTCCTTATTTTTTAAGCAATTGTGATATTTTTCACATGCTGTTGAGAATGGCTTTAGATAAGAATGTGTGCTAAATAATGTGAAACATTAAAATAATTCATTACGTGAAAATAATAATAATATTGGTTTATGATATCGATATCAGCCACAGTAAGGTGTAGATTATCAGTCATCCTTTTTGGCCCCGGAAATTCAGTATCGCTGCATCTCTAGTTTGTAACATAATGAACTTGAGTAAACTGGACTCCAGACTGCTGTGATCGTCTTGAACGTGTGCAATACAATATGAACTTGACAGTAATTTGTAAATTGTCGCAGTTCTGGACTTCTCGTGCTGGTCATGTGCTTCCTGCACTGTAAGTCAAACTTTGTTTTGATGATAGCCAAAGAGAGGAGCTTGGTTCAAAATTCTGATTTGGAGAACACAGAGTAGGCTCCTCCACACAAAATCTGTCCAGTCCAGATCCCTAAGGGTCCTAGGCCTTCTCTTTTGGACTCCCTACGTCTGTCAAAAGCTGGATTCTGGGGTCAGGGATGCAGTTTTGTGTGAATTCGGATGTATGTTTTGGATCGTTGTCCCTTTTGTCCTATTACTGTTTCCAGCATGGGCAGCCAGATTTCCATGATACCATGTATCTAAACAAGGTTCCCAAAGACTTTGTATGAAGAACAGCCCGAAACCATCACTGATCCTTAGGTTTGTGGTTAGATAAAAGAAAAAGCTTTCTTCTGGCTCAGCATGGGGCTGGTGTCTAATTGAAGTTTTGGAGACTTGTTATCATCTTATATCTTAACATGATCCTTGGAGAAATGTTTGCCTCTTTAACCATTCTCCTCGCTTGCATCCTCTTCCAGGCAGGTTAACTACAGTTCTGGTTGTTTTAAATGCTTAAAATTAGAGTGGACATGGGCGATTTTTAAGCGTGTGGGTATTTTTATGGCTGCTGCCTGATTTATGAAGTTCAGCACACTTTTGTCACATTTGTTTTATGTATTCTGTAATCTTCAAAGAGAATTTGGCCTCTGTGCCACTTCATATTTAAATTTATCATGGAGGATTGCTTAAGAGTTTCTGAACACTCAGTGAAAGTAAACAGAAAAAAGTAAAATATAAATAAAAGTGTGCTTTAGTTACATTTTGTTTATAAGAATTTCTAGGGATGCAAATAATAGTGACACATGGTTTTGTTTAAAAATATATTTTGATCAGGGTTTTGGTTTTCTTAGACTAAGTTTACCTCAAGAAGCCGTTACCACAGAGATTTTATTTACGCATCTTTATCAATAGTCCCAATAATTATGAAGCTGACTGTACAGATACTTTT